AATTTGATAAAGTGCAAATGAAAATATAGCCTTTTTAAACATTTGCATGGTAGAACCAGAAGCTGCTCTTCATATTAGTGACAAACTTTGGCTTATTTTGATGGGTTACCTTCATTTTTGCTTCTACTTTTCTTTTAAAATAGGTTTCCATTCTTGGCAGGTTTCTAAGGTTCTTCTACATATTAAAGAAAAGTTGTTAAACATCTGAGTGGTGCACTACTGCTACTAGTGGTAAGAACGTGTATTGCACCTTATTCAAAATCAATGCGGTRCCATGGAACTCTGTGGCCCAAAGTTAAAAACTGGTGTTCTTCTGAGGCCCCCAAGGTGGCGCTCACGGCCCACAATTGAGCCGCATCCCATGGGTTAAAAATCACTGAAGTAGACAAAGTGTTAAAATAAATCACACAAATATTTTTTCTAGCTTTTCTGAGTTAAATATGTGCTCAATCACTTTATTAGATCCACCTGTTCATTGATTGTTAATTGTTAAATAGCTAATTAAATGGCTGCAAACATTTGCACATCTATACATGATGGAAACAACTTGCTGAAGCTGAAATTGAGCAGGTGGGTTTTTCTTTAAGTGACTGGACATGGTTGGGTTATCGGTGTCACACAGATTGGTCCATTGGAGTCTTTGCATTTTGATTTAAGCAACACTGAACCAAACTGAACTCACTGATTTGCACACCCTTGACCTGAAAAAAAGAGGAGGAGCTAATCAGTGAAACCTGTCTAAAATTCATAACAGAGTACTTGAAGATCGCTGACAAAAGTAGTTCTGCAAGAATAAATTCTCTGATAGACCTAATAGTCTATTTTTTGGCTCCCCTCATCTGTTTTTAAAATGGTTAGAATTGTAAAGCCACTCTGTGTTTGAAATCTTTCAGAAAGAACAGGTTTCTATATAAAGACAGATAAATAAATGGTTTTCAGACACAATCAAGACATGGATTACACAAAGGCACATTAAGTACTTCTCTCTGGCACTCAGCAAGGAGAAGCAGATAAAGTCACAATGAGGAACATCATTTATCCTTGGCATGATTCCATGGGGTGCCCAGCGGGTCCAGTGCAGCGTCACCTGGCTGCTGTGTCACCATTTCATTTTAGCACCAACAGAGATTCTGTAAACACAGATTGGAGTGATGTGTGGATCGATGCTGAAATATTGATACCATTAATACCAGAACTTTATGCTCTGGTATCGATACTAAAATCAAAAGATTGATACAGTCATTTCAGTCATCACTTCAGTCATTTCATGTAATGTATATCATTAACAGGGAAACAGTAACTAAACTATTCAAATATTGTCTAAACCTTATGCAGTTGGAGGGAACTACTTTTTCTTCTGAATATATGTAAACACAATGGCACATATTTTGTCACTCAGTTTTTTTCATGCTAATACACTCTAAAAATGAAATGTTGGATTTACTTAACCATGTTATGTTACCTGGTTCCACTTAACTGAGTTGAGTAAATTCAAAGCAACATACTCATGTTCTTTGGCTAAAAAACTGGTATATTGCTTTGAATTTACTCAACTCAGTAAAGTGGAACCAGGTAACCTAACATGGTTAAGTAAATCCAACATTAATTTTTTTTACAGTGTACGTTCTTGTAATGTAATTCAAGACTCAAGTTTTGATTTTATAGTTTTAGTAATCAAATAATTTTCTATTTGATTGGTTTTCTTATTGATGCCCTGTATTCTTTATGAAGCATATTTGAAATGCCCTACATTTTTCGATTTACCAGACACATTTACACAACATCTCAGTATCATCAGATTCGGGAAGGGAATCAATGGTATCACTAATGGCTTGAGTGACAAAGGTTTTTAGTTTAGTGCTTGTGAAAGAAAGAAAACAGAGGAAAAATGTCTCCACCAAAATATACACTTTAGTTTAGTAGAAAATGCAAGGACTACATATACTGTATCAGCTTATTGTTGTTACTTTGAAGTTTAAGCCAATATGACTTCCTTTAACCAGTCAGTGACTTACCCAAGTTTCAATTTCACACTGCTGTGCATCCCAGTGATAGCAGTTCTTGGACTGCTGATTCATGGGTCCAGGGGGTCCATTATTCTAGTCTTCAAACCAGATCTATGTCCCTTTAGAGAACAGAGATTTACAGGAGGCCCTATGTGTTTTATCATTATTATGTGATGGAAATTATATGAATCATTATTTGGTACCTCATAAGAGAAGAATAGACTTTGTGATTTACACGACCACTCTCTGTGCTGCTAATTGAGTGTCATTTATCTTCTGTAAGGTGTAAATATAAAAATATATATATAAGCACAATGTCAAAAGTAGAGAAGTCAAATGTGGCTTTCATTTACTTTAGATTTATAAGAAACTAAATATGAGGAGCATGTAGTTTAAATCTATATTAAGTCATCATCAAATGTTTTCTTTAAACGATCTTGGAGTCATTTCAGGTCTCAACATTGTGTGAATCAGGCAGGTAAAAAAAACAAAAGCAAAACAAGAACTTTTATGATATTCATGAAAGGAAACAAATAGTGATGCTGAAAAAAGTGAAGCATGTATAAAGATTTTAAAACGCCAGGAAAAAACAGGCTGTGAAATAATTCTCTGGAAAGAATGTGGAAGACACAACCCAAATAATCAAACAGCTATCCACAGATAGTAGAATAAACAATAAAAACTACATATATCGTTGAACATTGTTCTAGCTCTGGAATCTCTATAACCTGGGCCTTGCTTTACATAGTCAATGATTTACCCAATATTTAATTAGTTAGATGTGTTTAGTGCTTAATTAGATTAGATAAGATATGTTTTCTCCTATTAGTTATACAGTTTTTTAAGGAACATCATGTACAAATTGCACAAAGATGTTAGTTTTTTTATTTTATAATCTAAAAAGAGTATTTCTAAACATAATATGTCAAAGTTTAAATGTGTTAAGAAAAAATAAACCATTCCAAAAATTGTTTTAAAAGCTAATTAACAGATCCTTGTTTCAAGCTGTAAATTATCCAGGAGAATCATGCACGCTACTTTTAATGTTATCTACATTTCTTGTTTTAAAGCTGAGGATGACATAATGTGTGTGTTTGTCCGGATTTTAACATCTACACAAATTTTATATTATAAGTCGCTGCCTGTTGATCTAACAATACATCTGTTATCTCTTTACTCAGGGAATGTATAGTTGCTGTCAGTTTGAGGATGAGACGGCACCAGGAGGGAGCAAAAGCTCCTTGCCCCAGTACCACACTGTGACTACCATGCCCTCTGTCCCCCAACAGCACCTCGTTACAGCTACAGTCAACAACACGACTGCCATTGCCATGGTGCAACAGCAACAGCCGAAGCACCACCCACAGCAACAAGGGCAGACCTACACCACTATGCTCCCTGGATCACCACCAGCTACAGGACATTCAGCAATGGCTCTGGGTCCCTCAAACAGCCCTTTATTGGAGGGCCCCATGCCTTGTTCCACCTTTTTGCCTCGTCATGACCGCAGACTGGCAGTGGTTGATCGATGGAACAGGCCAAAGCCAGAAAAGGTCATGAGCGGAGGTAGCAGTGGAGGAGTAGGTGTTGGGGGGATTGCAGGAGGGATTACCGATCTACAGTCGCAGCAGCAGTTTCAACAGAGCCTTGGAATGCACTGGAGTCTACAAGGAGGAGTTACAGGTGGAGTAGGAGGTAGTGGCGACACAGGGCTTGATGAATATAAGCGCTATTATGGTCCTATAGATCCAGAGGGGTTGGGGGCTAACTTGGACCAACAAGCAGGAGGCCCTCAGCAGACTCCCAAAACCAATTCTCGAGGCTTTAAAGCCCCAGGGATACCAAGGCTGCCTCCTAAAGGTCCTCATCAAGGACAAGCCCACCTAATCTCTAAGCCGCCTCCACCAATCCCATGCTCTCCACGACGGCCTCCATTCTGGCGACGAGGAAGCCTTGTACAGACAAGGAGAAAGGGCTCAGGAGGTCCTCTATATGAGAATATACTCCCTCTAGGAAGACGGGGAGGTGGAAGATACGGAGCAAGTGATGGTGTTGGAAGAAGAGGACGTCGCCCCCCTCCTCCTCCTCTTCCAGTCCCCCTTTCTTCCCCAACACATACCCCTACCACTCCCTCTTCCCCATGCCGTTTCTACTCATCCTGTTCCAGTGCCTCGTCCTCTTCCTCTTCCTCCTCCTCATCTTCATCATCCTCTTCATCCTCTGGGTCACTTTCTCGATCCAACTCCCCATCCTCTTGCACCAGTGACAGCTCCTATAACTCTTCGCTAAGTTTCCGGTATCGTGCGGGCGATCGGGATTTCACGGTAGATGATGAATATGACTCGGACCTTCTCACAGAGGAGTCCAGCCTTCTTCTAGGGTCACGGAAAAAGATTCGCTCACGACGCATGTCATCGCGTTCACTGCCATGCAGCCCCCCGCCTCCTCCAATACCACCACGAAAACCACACCCGCAGAGAAATTATGGTAGAGAGAGAACCAGCAGTCAACTGGCCCAGTTGCAGGAGTGGTGGGCATCATGGGGTGACCGAGAGCGAGGAAGGGGAGGCATGACAAACAAAGGAAATGCAGCTTTGGGCAGAGATGAGAAGAGACATCACAAAGAGAGGGAGCGTGAGAGAAAAAGGAGGAAGAAAGGTCGGAAAAAGAAGAAACGAGAAGAGAGGGAGCGGGAACGAGAGCGAAAGCGACGTAAAGCAAAGAAGAAGAGGAAAAAAGATGACAGGTTAAGGAAGAGAGAGCGCAAGAGATCTGAGCTGGAAAGTGGAGATCAAGAGAAAAGAGAGGAAGGTAAATCAGAAATGCCAGAATTCCCACCATACCCGCCTTCAAGGCGAGAGTCGTTTCGGAAAAAGAGTGAGAGCTCCATCCGAAGCTATGGATGGAACATTCCAGGTGAAGAGGAAAGAAAAGAAAGGGAGGAGAATAAAAGGGAAGATGGCGAAGAGAGCAGAGGAAAGGATAGACACCACAGGCGAAGAAACATCAAGCATCACCATAGCTCCGGTAATAAGCCTTCTACATCTGTTAAGTTCTGGGGTGGGGGCAATCCTTCTGACAACATTCCATCTGCCTTTCTGCCCTTGCTACCCGTCTCTTCTAAAAGAAGAAAAAGTAAAAGTTCTGACAGAGATGCTGTGTGCATGGAAGGAGAGAGGAGGCCATTGTTGGGACGGAATGAACGTGGTGAAATGCACTCGAAGGAAGGGCTATCCTTTCATGAGTGGGAGTCTGAAGTTGAGGGAAGAGAGGAAGATTCTGAGTCAGAGAGGCGGAAAGCAGATCATGGAAAAAGGCACGGAGGAAGTAGGACTTTGTCAGATGAGGATCGAGAACGTGATAAAGTAGTTGGGATATATTCCGATGATGACGGTTCTTCAGGAGAATTTGGGAAGTTTGAGAGATACTGGGAGGATCATGAAGGTAGGGCAGTGGGTGGGATTGGAGGAGGAGGTTGGTTTTTCAGCACGTATCCCTCAAGGGACAAAGCGGGCACCATCAACAGCAGAGACGATCTCTTCCTAGAGAGAGGAGAAAGGTGGGGGACAGCAGAGACTGAGTGGGGTTCTAGTGCAGTTGGAGGTGGCGGTGGTGGAGGAGATAGAGAGTGGGGGTCAGGTTCACACTGGCCCCCGCCGCCTCTCACGCCACCTCCTCCTCGAAGATACTGGTCAGTGGACAAGCTTCACATACAAGATGAGAAGAAGACCAAACGCAAGTCTAAAGACAAGGGAAGGGGACACACAGCTTGTTCGACCTGTCAATCCCCCCGACACCATCCGCACTACGCTAAATGGGCCCGTGTAACCTCACGAAGCCAGGAAGAGCTGTACCCCCACTGCCAGAATTTTGGTGGTCCCTTAAAGCCAAAACATGATTCCACATCATCATCCAAGCCTGACCGATCGCATAATCCATCGAAATCTGGAAGCCAGTCAAACCTCAGCATTCAGCAACGGACACAGAGAACAGACAGGGATCGGGATCGAGGAAGACCACCATCCCCACCTTCTTCTCTCATTCCAAACTTGCCATCCCCACTCCCTGCCCTTCCAGCTCCTCCCTCCTCAGTTCACTCTATCCACGTTCCTCCCCTCACATCTTCTTCTTCTGTATCTTCTCCCTCGGTGGTCTCGTCCACACCGGGGGCGCCCCAGGCCTCCTCAATGGCTTCGGCAAGTGCCAAACTACAGTACCAGAGACTGCGCTCCGTACCCCAGCCCCAGAGGTTTCCTCAGTCTCCTCATTTACCCCTTAAAGCCAAGAGCCTGTGCTCACGAAGAGGATCAGCCCATTTCTCCAGTGTGGAGAGTGAAGTCTGAGGTTGAGCAAGGTTTCACGATTTATAAGAAAGCCCTGCGAGGCTAAGATTAGGGGGAGGACCTGCAAATGTGGCTGCACAGCAACAAACAGGGCTACACAGCCAAGTCAGTACAGCTCTGAGCCCTTTTCCCTAAAGTTCTGCACAAACAAACCTGAAAGCCAAACAAACCCAGGGGATTATGTCAAGGGAACACAGGACTATTCATGTTTTTACTGTTGTTTCATCATAAATCTACAAGTGTGTGAAAGACAAGAACTACATCAATGACTTTCTGAAATGTGCTAAACAAAAATAAATCAAACTTCAAAAGTGGTACAAGTAACGGGGGCCTAATCGCTTTTAAAAGTAAAGACTTTATAAGGTCAGGAAGAAAGTTAGTGTTTTCAGAGAAACTTAATTCTTGGTGAGGGCTCAGGAACTTTATAGTACTTTATGCCCACTGCTCTCGGAAGCCTTTAAACACAGTAAACTGTTTGTTTGCTTTGTTGTTCATTTCTTCGTCCTTTTAAAAATCTTAATTTTCCTTTTCCTTGACAAACTGTTTACACCCCTGCAGAACTGTGACACCCACCTGAGGCATCTTTCTTACATAATTAATGCCTTCTTGGTTAGAGAGACAAGAGGGTGATGACCACATTTCTTCTTTTTTCTTTTGTAGAAATTTTTACTTTGCTTCTTTTTATTCACTTGATTGTTTCTTTATTCTGTACCTTTGTTATTTTTTGGATGTGCCTTTTGTTCCCCACTTCTTTACGTAATTATTTCTTTTTTTTATTCCATTTCTCTTGTCATACCGTCCTGTTCTCCCCTCTTGGCTCCTCTCCTTGATGTGATTATTCTGTATGTCTGTGCTTTTCTGTGTTTGTATTCTTGACAACAGGGTAAGTCAGCTGTGACTGATATTCTTCTGGCTTAATGAAAAGCTGAGTGCCAAACTTAAGTAGAGTTCAACATCAAGTCTATATAATGTTAGCAGCTGTGTTTCTTTTTATCTTGCAGAGTATTACATCATTTCCATAATGCGCACGGACACATGCTTATAAATGTGAAGACACACTAACACTCATATACAAGTTCATGCAGGAAACATTAACAAGTCAACTTATCTACTCTCCTTCTTTAGCAATACATTATCCAACCTTTGTGTTAGAGCTTTACACTTCAACACCATGTCTTTCTTTTTGTGTCATATTTGTTGTTGCTATTGATGGTGTACTATATGTCAAGACATGTATTAAATCAAATACAATGTAATCACTGTGCCATTCTCAAGCTTGGGTACACAAATTGTTCTCTTAACTACCTAACAACAGAAATGGAGGCAGTTTTTTTGTTCCCTGCCTGTATTCAAATGAATGTAAAGTCAGCCGCCAACACGTGTGCTGCAACATTTACTGTAAGACACTTGAAGATGGGATTTGTAGCATTCTGGAGGGTTAATTTGATTTGCATGTTTAGGAAAAGGGACAAATAGCGTACACATGTGAACTAAATAAAAAAACCCACATTTTAAGAGGGAAAGTGCAATACATGCTAAAGAATTAGAACTACAGTGGAATCAAACTGATTTACCCTTTGTGTTTTGTTTATTGTGACTCATGCAAGATGTATAGTTAATGCCAAGGCCAGGAATAAATTCAAATTATTTCCAAAACCTGTCAACCCAGGTTTGCTTACCATCTGTTTAGTTTGTCAGGTGGGGTTTCACAAGGTGTTGGGGGGGGGGGGGTAGCCTTATGCTAATTGTTTTCGTCATATATGATGTGTTAAGTATGAATATGAAGATGAAACGGATCAAACAAGGATTTTATTGGTTCATAACTACAATTAGTGCCAGAGCCGTTTTGATGTCACTTGAATTGTGCTTCTGTTGGTTGTAAGAAGATTGATGCATTTTAGCTCTGATTAAGAGAAACATTTTTGTGTATTTTTTTTACTTAGTTAAAAAATGCATTTCTTATTTTCTAAATGTGTTTATTTTCTAAATGTGTAACCATGAGATTAAGCATTTTGATTATTGACCTGGCTGACACCAGCAGCTACACTTAAATGCCAAGCACTTAGCAGGAAGTGAAAGTTTGAAATCAATTTTAATTTAAATCTGTTTGAATTGAATTTATAGTCAATTTATTTATTTTTTTGTATGAGGAAACAGAGCCTAAGTGAAGTGTTGAAAACGAGATTTTTTTTTTTTTTTAGTTGCTAAAAATTCCTGAGCCATTTTTCCCAAAAGTCTGGTCAGCTCATGTTGATCACCTGGAACTGCATCTGAGCCATAATTTACTTTGATGAAAACAAAATAAATATTAAGTTTTTAACAATAAATTTGTCATATAGAGTTAGTCTTATTTTCACTGAGAAATATATATATTTCATATGTATGTATGTATATATTTGTGGCAGTTGCTAACATAATAGAACAATTTAAGTCTTAATAAGACTGAGATATTTTAAAAAGAAAGTTCAAGTAATTATGGTGAAATGCATCATTTTAAATTCAATTCAAAAATACTTTATTGATCCCAGAGGGGAGTTAGGTAAAGGGTTACAATCCCCTTTAAAAGACCTCAAAGTTGTTTGGCTTTGCACTTTACAATTGACAATTAATTTGAATTTAACTGAAATGAGGAAAAGTATTGTGCGATATGTTTTGAAGCAGTCACAGAGCAAGCAACTTTATTTGCATTCAACCAATAAAAGGCCTTGACGCACTAGAAAATCTTAGACAACTTGTGCCAACTTACTAAAAAAAATGACTAAATTACCAATAAAAGTTGTTTTGATCAATTTGTAATCATTAAATTGTCTAAAACATAGTGCGACAGGGGCTTAACCCAATTGTGCTTCAAAGTCGTTGCTGAAACACTACAATACTGGTCAGCAATACACATATGTATTTGTACACAAGCTCAATTGCACAACAGCTAGTGATGGTGTGAACACAAAACAGACTTCTCTTTTCTTTTTAAATAGGCCTCCACTCTTTTTTTCCTGTTTCTTCTTTTTCCTCATGTCTATCCATTGTGCCCATCTGTGTCTGCAAATGTAAAACTGATCTATTAAAAAAAGAATATACGTGGCTATATTTATTTCATCTAAAAAAGAGCATATCTCTATATGTATATATGATAGTATATTTCAAGACTATAATATATGTTATCTGAGTTTGTCTACTAAATTTATGGTATTATCTCAATGAAAATGTCTTTTTTCTGTCTGTCTTTCCTCGTCTCAATCCTACTGCCCAGCTCCCTAAACCCAAGTGAAAACAGAGACCAGTACGAAAACTGTGTTTTTGCTCACTTCAGACCAACCATCCGCCTCCATTAGCTATCTAACATAGCTAATGCTAAGAATTCAACATAGTGACAGAGGAGAGCGAGTGTCTTATGACCGTGTCACTGTAGCAGTGGTGGTGTGTGTTTGTCTACCCAGAGGGGCCTTTTTTGATTTGGGCTACAGATTATTAACAAGTCTTTTACGGAAACAGCAGCTTTTACCACACAACTCTCTCACATGTAGGGGGGAGGGGGTCTTATTCTGGATCCTCAGATCTGTGAGTTTATACCATAGTGGACAGTGAAGTGACCTCTTGAAAACACAATGTAGCGAGCAGCACAGGCTTTTTTGCATTTTTAGTAGCTGTATGACAATAAAAAAAGACAGAGAAAGAAGAAAAAATGCACAGCCACCCCTGCCGACCAACCTGTATGATATGTTTAAGGACTTTTTATGTATCTGCCAAGCTGCTGTGCTGTAAAACAATAAAAAGGAAAATCAAAACCACACTCTTCACACATGGTTTCTTTCTTAACTTTATAAAATTGATGAAAGTGTGCACACATGTTAGTGAAAGAGCTAAATTTGCTGTTTGTGTTCCTATAAAGGCTAAACATGGCTTCTCCAGGGCTTTATTTAACAGCTTTGATATTTAAATGGTGAGTGTGAACTTATCAGTTTTGTGTCAGTTGTGCCATTTGCACATTTCCCTCTTATTGTTCATCTACAAGTGGATAGTTGTGTCTTTGCTTCTTCTTCATAATGTACATGTTTGTCATGCCCAGTATAGTATTATTTCCAAAAAATTGTGTATTGATGCTACCAACCAGAGTCAAACAGAATAGTCACAGTAATGCCTGTTTTCTCTCAATAATTTAGCAGATTTCAGGATATTTTTTATTATTATTTTAACAACAACAACAACTAGAAGCACTTGGAGAGTGCAAACCTCCGCCAAGACCAATTTCCCCCATCCTGTAAGAGTTAATGCACTAAAGCAGAGATGGTAACACATTTGCTGAATAAGTTCTGACGTAGTGAACATTTAAGCAGGCAGTATGCACAGGATTTCTTCTCAGTGGAGTCCAATATAAAAAAAAAAATCATCACCCGACGTTATTCATGGTCAAACTGGTGTGGGATTAAGCTCCTAAGTTTTCATCAGTCACATTTCCCCATGTAAAACATCTGTTTTATCTCCTTGTATGAGTTTGTAATGGTTTGACTCTTTTTATAAAGTGCTTTCTGGCTCCCCCCGTCTCCAAACTTTGAGGCCCAGCAGCTCTCTGTTTACAAGCCTAGAAGAGAGAAACTGTTTTGACTGGTTGTTTCGGAAATGTGGTGTGTTTGAGCAAATGGGAAAATAGGTTTCATGGTGCAGTCACACACTTCCTGGTCACAAAATGTTCTGTAAATGTGCATATGGCAAAAATTATCCATCATTAAATGTGGTTTTAACATTACTTTTATAAAGTTTGAAGTCCGTGCTGTCCAATCCAGCTCACTGTTATTTTAGAGAAGCCCTGTGAAAGCATCACAGCTTTGCCGCTCTCAGAGTGTTAAAAGAAAAAATTCCTGTATCCGCACCGTGATCCGGAACATCACCAAAATTTAAAGGTGTGTTCCTTGGCCCAGTACCCACATGTGGTAAAAATGACATGACAATCCGTCCACAAGTTTTTGAGTAACATTGTCCACAGACAGAACAACAGAACAACAGAAAGACATTTGCGACCGAAAACATTACCTTGCCCTTGGCGGAGGTAATAATAATAACAACAACAACAACAACAACAACAACAACAACAACAGCAACAACAAACTATCCTGAAATCTGCAACAATACTGTGAGAAAAAATGCATTGTTGTTTTGCAACAATGTTTGTTTTAAATATATTTTTTATTCTAGATGACTCTGAGCTGTTGTCAGCTTAAAGTGGCCTCCATGGAATCAGAAGCTGAAAGTGGGAAACAAAACTAACTAGAACTGCAAAGCAGTTATGACCGGGGTCCAAGCCCTTTTATGCATGTCAGCCTTTGTCATGTTGTTTGTAGCATATTGTTGATCTTTTAGCTTCTTGGACAAATTTCTCTCCAACAAACGCAGTAAATAAATAAAATTTGAGAAGTTTGAGTATCAGAATTGTTTGTTATTGTAGTGGTCACCCTGGGTGGAAT